CGTTCCTGAAAAGAAAACAAACTTAACAGGTACAATATTGTTAGCAATATGCATGACAATGCAAGAATGAGGCACGCATGCCATATGGAATGTAAGAACATGGATAATCACCGAGTGTTCAAACGGTGACGTCCAAGTCTTGAGGACGGTCAAAAATGGGGTGTCTACAGTTGCCCCTCTTTGACAGAAGTCGAAAGTCATAACAATGACGGGAGTGAATGTCAAAGCCCAGAGACGACCCATGAAAGGAGGGATCATGGACTAATTAGCATGCAACATGAGCCTTAAAATCATGTTATAAAATGATGCCAAATCAAGTTATAAATCAAGCCAAAACATGCAAAGAGTAGTCCAAGTGTTCAAGGCAAGTCGATAAGGCATTGAACTACACTTATCATGACCAAACATGGCATGCATTAAACATCTAAAAACAGATTTTTAGCATGTTAAAACAAGGCCAAAGGACTCCTTAGATGGCATCTAAGTGGCTCAAATACAAAGGCATACATAGACACCAAAACATGGAGCATTGCTACACAAGCTTCCAAAGCATTAAAGAGGCATGCAAGGCGATCAAACAAGCATGGAAATGGGACTGAAATGGCATGTAGAATGATCCCAAATGACCAAAACAATGCAAAGATGCTATGCTACACATGCACATGCTCAAGGCCAACAAGCCTAAATACAAAGGAGCTATATCAAGCATGCCAAAATCAACCCAAACAACTTAGGACAGACCTAGAACATGGCAAGATAAGCACATAATCTTCACAAGACTAAGCCTAAAACATGCTCCAACAAAGGCTAACAACCTAAGACATGTTAAGGCATAAACAAGGCATTATATGGCAACTATGCTAAGCATGCATGGAGTTCCAAAACCAACTTCAAATCATGTTATATTATGGATATATAAGCATGAAAAACAGCCTAAACATGCTCAACACACACTCAAGCATAGGCTTCCTTAAGAGGCCAAAATATGTCCTTTTCAAGGACAACAAGGAGAGGGGGTGGCCCTCTCCTTCTTGGGACTTCAAAGCATCATCCTCACCACTGAAATCCCTCAAGATTTCAGTGGTGAAGAGATCTCAACACCAAAATCCCGGAGCTAACACAAAATGGCCCAAAATGAGCCTAAGGGGGGTCAACCACCCTCAAACAACAAAACACTCTTAATAAACAATAAAGAGGGCCTAAAAACAGAACTTTTTTATGTTATACAATAAGCACAAAAACAGCTCTAAGATAGGTAGAAAATCAATGCAAAAAAGGGAAATAAAGGTGTAAGTTTCTTACCCTTGACGATCCCTTCACAAATGGTGCTCCAATGTCCTCCTTTAGCTTGAATCCAACACCAAAACTTCAAAACCAGTCCCTTAGAACCTCAAGAGCCAAAGGAAGGTGAAACACTAGGTGTTTGTGTGCAATAGTAAGACACAAAACACCTAGTGCACAAAAGAGATGGAAAGAGATATAGGGATTGTCTCTAACTCAAACCCTAAAACCAGAGCTTAACAATGGCTGTTTTTGCTCTCAAAATATCTAAACTCTCTACCCTTTCAAGCCAAGAGACCCTCTCCTCTCTATATGGCACTTCTTGTCTTGTAAAGCTTACAAGACAAGCTTCATAAGAGGGAGATCCCTCCATACACGTGTATGGAGGGGAGCAAAAGTAAGACAGCTGTCTTAAAATATCTGCTAAAGCAGATGCACAGTAATCGGCCGGCCAAAAATGCCATCTTGGCCAAAAAGAGTGCCGGCCGGCACTAAAAAGTGCTGACCGGTAACAAATAGTGCCGGCCGGCAATATACATTGCCGATGGCAGCAAAAACCAGCCGGGGGCCTCTAGCCACTGCCGGTGATGGGTGGGGATGGTCTACAAGCCCTACCCTGCCCTTCCAAGGCAAAACACAAGTGTTTGGTGCAAAACCAAACACTAAACGGTCGAGTTCGGAGATCCTGAGGCAAGGCATGCGAGCCGAGGCCTCCGGGAACTCCAAACGAACACAAACATGGATAATCACCGAGTGTTCAAACGGTGACGTCCAAGTCTTGAGGACGGTCAAAAATGGGGTGTCTACACCCTACTTAACGCAATCAGACACTGCGTTGCACTTATCATCGAGAGAACGGACACAAGATGCAGAATTGCAGAGCTCTCAAACAACACTTGGAGGACTTAGTTACGGCGGGACACCTCCAACAATGGATAGACGTTGATAAGACGAGGGAAAAGCAAGGACAAGACCAAGCCCCTCCTGAAGAGAACCATGCCCCAAGGTTGGTCATCAACGTTATCCAGGGAATGATTGACCCCGAAAAAGAAAACACCCTTCGAGGAGAAATACAACGAGCTACCCACCTTTAACAAGTAATGTTGGTAGGACCTCCTCCTAAAAAGTCCAAGACAGAAGCCCGACCTTCTCGGTTCAACATCGTGTTCACCAAAAAGGACCTAGAGAGAATCCAGCACCTCCACACCGATGTCCTCATCGTTACAGTTGGCGTGGCCAACAAGTTCGATGTGAAACGAGTCTTGATTGACCAAGGGAGTGCCGCAGACATCATGTATTATGAGCTTTTCAAGAAGCTTGGCCTCAGTGAGCACCACCTAACACCTGCTACCTCCCCCTTAGTTGGCTTCAACTCACAAACAGAATGGCCACTCGGCCGAATTACTCTACCTGTTGTAGTTAAGTCCAAAGTGGTCTCTGTTGACTTCTTGGTGGTAAACACCCCATCTCCCTACAATGCCATCCTTGCCCAACCTTGGATTCACCAGATAGAGGCAGTCCATTTCGCCTATCACCAACTCATTCGTTTTCCAACCAAGTATGGACTAGAGGAGATTCACAGAGACCAAGTGGGAGCCAAACACTACTTCATTGCCGCCATGAAAACCAAACAAGTCTGCGTCCAAGTGCAGATGGTAGAAGTACCTGACCAACCAGTTTTGGAAGACGTCGGTGAAGTGCTAACCGAGAAGATGGTAGAAGACCTAGAGATGGTCTTGGTAGAAGAAAGAAACCAAGACAAGTTCTTTCTGCTCGACACTTCCCTCACTATTGAAGAAAGAGAACAATTATTGGCTTTACTCCGTAAAAACATCGAAGTGTTCACCTGGTCGGCCTACGACACTCCTGGATTGGACCCTAATTATGCTTGTCATTGACTCAACGTCCAATTAGGAGCACGGCTGGTTGTTCAGAAAAGTAGACGGTCATCTGCACAACACACCGATGTAGGGATCGAAGAGGTGGACAAGCTTTTAGCTGCTGGAGTCATTCGAGAAGTGCAGTACCCAAAGTGGCTGTCTAACACCGTCGTGGTGAAGAAGAAGAATGGCAAGTGGAGAGTCTGCATTGATTTCACTAGCCTTAACAAAGCTTGCCCCGATGATAGCTTTCCCCTTCCACGAATAGATCAACTTGTTGACACAATGGCTGGATATGAGCGCTTGAGTTTTCTAGATGCCTACAATGGCTACCATCAAATCCCCATGTTTGGCCTCGACCAAGAGAAAACGGCTTTCATCAGCCCTAGAGGCACTTACTGCTACAAAGTGATGTCCTTTGGCTTGAAGAACGCTGGTGCGACCTATCAGCGAATGGTCACCAAAATGTTAAAGAACCAGCTTGGTAAAACCATGGAAGCATACATTGATGACATGGTAGCCAAAAGCAAGTTGGCCAACCACCATCTAAGGGACCTTGAGCAAGTGTTTGAAATTCTGAAGACTCAAAAGCTTCGACTGAACGCCTCAAATTGTGCATTTGGAGTAGGATCAGGGAAGTTCTTGGGGCACATGGTGACTAGGCAGGGCATCGAAGCCAACCCCGACCAAATCAAAGACCTCGAAGTGCCTACAAAGGCTAAAGAGCTCCAGAAACTTGCTGGCATGGCTGCAGCACTTAACCGTTTCATCAGTCAGTTCTCTAATTGAATGAAACCCTTCTTCCAACTTCTAAGGAAGAAAGCAAACTTTGAATGGAGGAGCCAGTGCTCTGAAGCACTAGAAGATTTGAAGAAGTATCTGTTCTCACCTCCTCTTCTATCCACCCATGTCGCCAATGAAGAGTTTTTCCTTTACGTGGCTGTTTCTAATCATGCTGTTAGTGCAGTGCTGGTCAGAGAGGATGGAAATTAGCAAAAACCAGTGTATTATGTTATAAGACCCTCTTAGATGCCGAAACTAGATACTTGCCATTGGAGAAATTAGCATATGCCCTATTAATTTCCTCTAGGAAGCATGTTCACTACTTTCAAGGACATACCATCAATGTCCTCACTGAATTCCAGCTCAAGTCAGTGCTCAGTCGAGTAGATTTCTCAGACCGAACAGCAAAGTAGGCGGTGGAGCTTGGAGAGTTTGACATCAAGTTCCAACCTTGAACGGCCATCAAAGCTCAAGTCCTAGCAGACTTTGTTGCAGAATTCATTCCAGGACCAGCTGTCCCCTCCGAAGGGAGCTCGGCTTTGGTCACTATGATTGCCCAGCACAAAGGGCAATCCCCAGCCAAAGCATGGAAACTTTTTATCGAAGACGTATGGAAGCTGTTTGTGGACGGTTCTTCTAACCAAAAAGGCTCAGGGGCAGGAATTGTCCTTATTTCTCCTAAAGGATTCATGTGGGAACAGGCCATCCGATTAGGCTGAAAAGCTTCTAATAATGAAGCAGAGTATAAAGCTCTATTAGCCGACCTGCGAAGTACCAAACACTTCAACACGAAGGAGCTACTTGTCTTTAGTGATTCCTAATTAGTGGTCAACCAACTCTCTGGAGTTTATGAGGCTCGCGATGAACGGATGGCCACTTATGCAGAACAAGCCAAAGACTTGATTAGAAAGTTCCAAGCCATCAGAGTTAAGAAGATTGGCCGAGAGGGAAATGGTCACGCTGATGCCTTAGCTTGCCTGGGTTCCTCGTTTGACTCCAGAGACGGGCACAAAATATGGGTGGAATATGTACCCCAACCAAGTATTCAACTAGTCGAAATGGTTCTCTGTACTGACTTGGGCCCAAGTTGGATGGACCCACTCTTGGCCTTCTTGAAGAATGGCACCCTTTCTAAGGACAAAAAAGAAGCGCACAAGACAAGGCACAGAGCTGCTCGGTTTTGGGTCTCTCCATCTAGCAAGCTTTACAAGAAGTCCTACATGGGCCCTTATCTACTCTGTATTCATCCAAGTCTGGTAGAGAATGTGCTTTACGAGATCCATGATGGAATATGTGGGAGCCACACTGGTAGTCGGTCCTTGGCACACCGATCCCTAACACATAGGTATTGGTGGTCACGCATGCAAAAGGAGGCCCAACAGTATGTCCGCAAGTGCGACAAGTGCCCAAAAGTTTGCTCCTCTCATTCACCAACCGACCAAAGCTCTAACCCCCCTCACTAGTCATTGGCCATTCGCTCAGTGGGGCTTAGATATTGTTGGACCATTAGCTAGGGAAACTAGGAATAAAAGGTTCTTCATGGCCGCAACTGATTACTTCACCAAGTAGGTGGAGGTGGAGGTGGATGCCTTGTGCAAGATCAAAGAAACAGACACTAAGAGGTTTGTTTGGCGCAATGTTGTGACTCGATTTGGCATTCCCAAAGTCCTTCTCTCTGACAATGGCACACAATTTGATGGCAAGATCTTCAAGAGATTTTGCGCTGACTTGAAGATAGAGTTCCGAAACTCCACTCCGGCCTACCCACAGGGCAATGGCTAAACTGGGGCATCCAATAAGACGATCATTGATGGGATAAAAAAGCATTTTGAAAAAGGCCAAGGGCAAATGGGTGGAAGAGATACCGAATGTCCTCTAGGCCTACCGAACTACTCCTCGCCGGTCGACCGATGAGATACTCTACTCTCTTATCTATGGGATGGAAGCAGTCATCCCTTTGGAGGTTGCCCTTCCTACCATCCATTCTGAGATCTTTGAGCCAGCAAACAATGATGAAGCCATCGCCCAAGCTCTAGACATGGCCGAAGAGCGTAGAGAAGCTGCCCTCATTTGATTAGTGACTTACCAGCAGCAGCTCGCTAAGAGCTTCAACAAGAATGTGCATCCAAGGCAATTCCTACCAGGTGACTTGGAACTCAGGAAGGTGATGGATCACAAGAAAGTTCCTGGAGAAGAGAAACTCGGTGCTAACTGTGAGGGGCTCTACAAGGTTACTTCAGCACTTGGCAATGGTACGTACTATCTAGCCGATTTAGCATGGAAGATAATCCCTAGACCATGGAACATTGCCAACCTAAAGAAGTACTTCCAGTGATGTGATTCTTAGAATGAAGTATTTTTAGTAATATATATTTATCAGAACATGCCTTGATGTAATCAAAAGTTCTAAGTATCAATGAATGGAAATTAGTTTTACAATTTGTCTTTATTTACTTGTGTTGTACATTTATGCTTGGTGGAGCAAATTGGCCACGGGTCTTAACTCAAGCCAAGCCCGGATGCTCGACCCTTTGGTCGATGCGGGGTGCCAAGTGGTATAACTTGGTGGAATTTGTGTCGAGTATCGTTACTTGGAGCACGGTCCATATTCACAATTTGCGCTTGAAGAAGGGCCAAATTACACTCTACGATGGGTTAAATCACGCTAAAACTTGACCAAGTCAGGTAGCGGCCGAACAACATGATAGAAAACTTTCACAATTGTTTCTCTCATCGGGCATGAAGCATGGTCTGACTGAACAAACAGCCTTCTGAGCCACAGAGCTCATGATTGGCTGGGGCCGTCAAAAACTCACTCAATTTTTTCTAAGGCACGAAGCCTGGTTAGACCGAACAGATGGCCTGCTAGACCACAAAGCCTCTGCTCGGCCGGGGGAAAACATTACATACAAGCAAAAATTAAAGATAAGCAGTTTAACACTTGCGAAAATATAAGAACAAGTGCATTAAAATGAAACTTCAATTACCAAAAAGAGTTCGGCCTTACAAAAGAAGAGGTCCAGCCGACCGAACTCCAAGACAAATAAAAAAGTGCAAATTACAAGTTCCACACTTGGCAAATTTAGAAGGTCCTTCATTATAAAAGGGAGCTCGGCTTGTATCATAGCCTACTCAACTGAGCACTAAAGCAAAAGTTGAAGATACTTCATTAACTTCCAAGTTTCATTACAAAAGAACTACTAAAGCAGAAGTAAAAGCAAAAACCCGAGGTAACCTAACAACTTACTCCTCGCATTGCTCCTCCATCCTCGCGGTGCTCCTCCCCTGTAAGATCGACAATCTACCTAACTAAAGAAGAGCTCGACAGGAAATGAGAAAGGTTAGAAGGATCAACATCCGTAGCTCTATCCCTCCGAGGCCTTCTCCTCCTAACCCTTGCAGCGGTCTTCAAAGGGACTGGGATATCATCAATATCATAAAGAGGAGAAACCTCTTATACCTTAGCAGCGCGCAGAGCCCCAGTCCAACCCTTAGTAAAGATCTTGTCCCTCAACTTCAAGATCTCCTCTGAGTAGGTCTTTTCGGCCTCGTCATAGCCCCTCTGTTCGGCCTCATCCACCATCTTTTGATAATTAGCCTTTAAAGACTTCAGAACAGCATCGGCATCTGCATCTGTAGCCCTCCGTTCAGCCATGAACATTAGTGCTTCGGCCTTCTTCTTTGCATCTTCTATCTCCTTTAGATCCTCTCTGGCTACCTTCAAGGACATGTTAGCGTCAGCCAACATGTTGATTGTCTTAACCTTCTCTTGCTCCTCACGATGTGGCATTTCATCCATGATGTGCATCCTTCGCATGCACCGCACCAAACTGAAATGTCATGTTCTCAATAACCAAATTTAAAGAAATGACAAAGACATAGAAGAAGACTTACTGCGGTTAGCATCTGTACCGAACCTTTGATCAACACGTCGCTCGAAATGTTTTGCTCCGCCATGTCCAAAGGTTGCAACAATGCCTTTGATAAGTCAAAGGCCAAGTCGCTTGAGTAAATTGTGCTGTCCGATATAATGATTGCTCGGCCGTTGTGCTCCAAGGAAAGCACCCATTCTTTAACCGAGCCCTGTTTATTAGAACTCCCAGTAACTTCTTTACTTTTGGACCTCTTCCTCTTTGAGGCCTTATAAGCCAGGAAGAGCAAGAGTAGCAATGGAAGAATGAGGAGCAACATGCTTTGTTCCACCCTTAGACCTCTCAATCGATGGAGAAGAAACTCGTGTGTCGACCGTCGAAGTAGCTAGAAGGTCCTCATCATCAAATCTAAAGACTAAGGCATCAAGATTGAGCTTTTGGCGGCAAGCCATTTCGTTTGCTAAGTCTGGCGACGGAGAGTAGCCTCTACTGAGTGATCCACTTAATGAACAAACAATAGCGGAAGAGGAAGCTTCGGTGGTATGGCCAACTTGCTCTTCGGTTTCTATCTCAGGTGAGTCCCCCAAGAAGTCATTTACTTTGAGTTTTCGTTGGATGAGATGTCTGTTAGATCGCACATAGTCAAGCAAATGTGGGACCGACCGATCTTCGTACCTTAGTGCAACTTTGATATCCCTCGGATGTTCTTTCTCTGGCCTCCTTTTTAGCTTCTTTGAACCTGCAAGTACGAACAACACTTAAAATATATATATATATATATATATATTTCACAAGCAATAAGTGTATGAACAAAAGGAAACTAAAATAAAGAATGACCTAGGTGGCCGTTCTCTCGTGGAACCCGCATCGATCGGCCCACCTCCTCGGCCGCAAACTCCCAATTACCTTCAACTTGAAGGAAATCAGAGCAATGTTTGTCGTTATTAGGAAGTTCAGTGACGAGTTGGAGATCCAACGATCGAACTTTGACATAATAGGTTTTACCACCTTTATTATGACACAAGGAGTAGCAATGAAGGATATCCCAAATACCCAAGTCCAAGTCTAAGAGGTCGTTCAAGACCTAGACACCGTTTACCACTCTAAATGTGTTCGTTGATATTTGCATTGGTATAAGTTCAAAATAAGAAAAGAATCAACGCAAGGGTTCAATGGAAACCTAACACCCCCCTTTACGATGGAGGCAATTGAGAAGGGCATTGTGGTGCTTGTACACGACCGATCCGCATCCACCGCCGCCAATGTCAACGTGACATCATTGAGAATGTTACATCTTCAGCGGAACTCATCTATTCTCGCCGGGGTGTCCACTAAGCTCCGAAACTTACCCATTGGAGGTGCGACATTCCACCAAACAACTACACTAAGGATGACTTGCAAGGTTGGAGGTACAATGGAGCAACCGTATGCTAGACAACTCTCAATGTTACACTTAACCAAAAAAGTAATGGTGAAGGTGGAAAGGAAATGCATGGGTTCTATGACTTACAGTGTCAAAATCAAGTGAAACTCGATGGTTGGCATCTCCGATGAAGCAATCCCACTATGGCAACCAAGAGAAAAATTGTGAGTTGTAAAAAAAAAAGAAAAAAAAAAGAAGAAAAAGAAAATAATAAATAAATAAATAACAGTGGCCTGAAGATTTACAAAACCAGTGTTAGCAAGGCAAATCAACAAGTGACAATGGTGGACACTGTGAGAGAAGGAACATTGGCACAAGAAATGGTGCCGAAATGCCATCAATACCGTCGGGAAAATAAGAAATTTGGAGCTTACGATGCTGGAAATGGAAAAGCAAGATAACGGGGGCAAAATGGACAGGCCACAGGTGATGAGACGGTGGTAGGATCACCCATTCACCATAAAAAAAGTGCTATTCAAGGTGTCTGTGAAGCCTCAACCAACATTAAATAAAGAGAAAATGGGTCTCTCTGACTTCAAATTCTAGAGAGAGAAAATGGGAAAACCACAACGTTGGAGCAAGCTATCAACTTCCCGGAAACAAATTTAGAATTTATAGAAAGAGTTCCAATGTCAAGCTCTCAAATTTTAAAACTGTTTTAAAGTTCCAAGGAAAGAAAACGTAAAGATAAAGAAAACAAAGTACTTTGTTCTCAAAAAGGGACCTATGTTTTTCTGAAGTAAAAAAGTGGAGGCAAGATGGGTTTGTTTTATTTTTTAAAAATTGATAGGTCTTCTTCACGTCACGTCGGCAACCCAACCCACTAACAAGACATAAACACGTAGCAGCTCAACAGTCGAGTATGTACGTCTGCCAATGCCAAGTTTGAAGTCCAATGGTAAGACGAAGATGATGGCCAGCCGAATGCGACACTGAAAAAATGAAACCAAGCACAAATTAGTGATCATTGAGCAGCATGAAAGAGCTGGTGCGAACCAAGCTACGGAATAACGGCAACCGACCGAACTCATTCGTCGACGGTGACAAACCAAGCTAGTGACCGAGCTACGAATTTAATGAGATGCTCCTCTAAGGCTGAGCAGCGGCAAACCCATGGCTGAGCAATAGCCCAACTAAATAACAAAGACCACGGAAGAAAAACGCTGCTGGGTATGAAAAAAGATGATAACCGAATGAGAATGAACCGAGCAGAAATTGAGGAAGTGTCGTGCGTAAATTAAAAAGACCAAGCTGGGCAAGTCGTGCGTAAAATAAACAAGAGTTGTTCGGCCCATCATGTGTTAGAATAGGCTTGTCCGAGCAATAACGTCAACCGAACAAGATTGAACCAAGCAAAATTGAAGACAGCTGTGCAACACAGAACACAAATTTGAAGACCAAAATAATGATTAAGTTGCGTAAATGTGTAAATTAAACGGAGTTGCTCGGCATTTCAAGTGTTGGAAAAGGCTTGACTGAGCAATGACGTCCAAACCAACCAATGCATGAAGAAGTGGGCTGAAACAATTGATTTGCCAATTATGTGCAAACAAGATAGTGCATGAGTAGGACTTGGCCGACCAAGCACAGATAACATCACGTTGATTTTCTATATGGGACCGAGCAATCAAAATTTTTCACTATTTATTTTTGTTGGAAGACGCACTTATTCAGAGCATATTATACAATTTTTGCAGTGGTTCAGCCCACCAATAAATTCGCTTGGATAATGCATGTGGAAGTTAAGCAAAGGAGTATTTATCCTGTGACTATGCACAAAAGTCTAACAATTGGCCCACCAAACACTTCCATGGTGGAATACCAAGTCTGTAGCCATCAAATACCCAGCAAATAATATTTGCATGCCATTACCATACATGGCAATCAAGGTAGGGCCCACAAAGCATACCCATCAACATTATCAAAACAAGTTAGAAATTGGCTACGTTAAGGCACGCTTGGACTGCTTTGAAGCACGTTGTGTTGCTCGGACCAATTGTTGAACTTTAGAAATATATATATATATATATACCCAAAAGA